CCTTAAATTTCGTAGGGTCTTATTTCACGCTCTTCCACACCTTTTTCCTACTTTTTTGATTAGTGCTTCATTGGCCACCTGTTCTAACAAATTTGACCCCTGAGACCTGCCAAAGTCCATCGCGGGCGCTGTCTTTAAGTGTTCCGGAGGGTTTTTTTCCCGTTCTTTTTGTAGACTGAGAAGCACTATGGGATACTGGTCTCATTGACGGGCACCACCTACCCGCACAACACTTGATCGCGGGAATTGTCTTCTTAATGCAACCTATCCAGTTAAACTCATGAGAATATTGGAGGTATGTCTCGACGAAATTTACCTATTGCAGCAATCGCCTTTTTATGAATGTATGCATCGAGTACAGCCATACGATGCCAGTTAAAGAGAAGAAAAAGAGAAGTGCACACAGACCTTTTGGAGGCAGCGTCCGCGATCAACCAAGATGAAAAAAGCCTGCATTGCACAAGATCGCGGAGTCCGCAACCAAGCGGATATCCCACTTTTGCGGCTCGAAATCGATGAAATCCCACACACAAGCTCCTACACATTGATGAAGGCGGAGTCAACAATGCTAAGCTGATGCCGCCTGTCCTGTTAATCCCGCCCGACTGGTTAACAGTTATCAATCCTCGCTGGCATTGATAATCGCTAAATTTCTAGCGTTTGTTTCGTACACTGATAGAGAGATTAACTCATAGACAGATCGATTATCAATGCCAGCGTGGATTAATTAGATTAGATGAGATAACCTAGGTAGTGCCTCATGAGAATTAGCCGCAACGAGCGGCGGCATGTATTAGAGAACTCACCTAAAATCTGCGAAACTCGTCCAGATGCCTTAAATCGAATGGGGTCGTATTCCATGTTCTTCCAGCCCTTTCTTCCCCTACTTCTTTCGATTAATGCTTCCTTGCTACCTGCTCGAACAATGACCCCATAAACCTGCCAAAGCCGATCGCGGGCGCTGTCTTTAAAAATAACCCTGTTACAAGAGTTTAGACCCTATTTCGGAGGGTATTAATCGCATTTTTTTTCGCAGAGAAGCTCGTGGAAAGTTTCTGAAGAATTGTCCAGTTTTTTACAATATTACTACCCGATAACTGATAATAAATTAAATGAAAACATGAAACAAACTAATGATACAAGCTTTGGGAATTCTAAGAAATGGAACTGAGCGTCTAAGTGCCAAAGACTTAGTAGAGGCCAGTGGCAGATAAATCTCCAAGACGTGTAAAACTAATTACGCCTAGCAGGACAGGAATTCTTCGCAACTGAGCAGGCACTGTGCGGCGCCTTCGCCAAGGAAGGTACTTTTAGCGCCTCATTAAGCTGGAACATAACGACTCAGGGACGATATGAGAGCGGCGGTTGCAGCATGGATATTGTTGTGTTATTATATGCAGCCATATTTACCGTAGCGCTGATTAGCATGATGCCAACGGAAAAAACTCGTCCGAAATTGCTTTCTGAGCCGTGTAGAGCAATGGTTATTTGCTGGTTTTGACAGATTCACATCGCTTCTTCGTCATTTCCCCGCCATATAATCCCACTCGTTTGCTATCTTTCACAGAAGCCACCAAATATCGTGGCTTGTGCCTTTGAACACATCGGGTACAAGAGCCAGCATCTTTCCAATGCAAACATTGCGGCATCGAGCAAGCACCGAGGCCAAGCAAGCCTGCCGCATTTTAGGCTCATCTGGTAAAGAACTGTGTAAGAAAAAGATTACATGCTCCATCGCTTCCGAAAGCACTGCAGTTGACTGTAACTAACCTATCCTTTCATAAAACTTTGGCATTATTGTAAAGTCCGTAGTTTTCATTATTGCCAAAGAGTTGTCTACAACAGTCTCTTCAGCCAAGTTAAGAGTGAGGCTCCAGCCTACAGTTTTTTTTTCCAAAATTCTGGGCTGCTTTGAATGCAACGGCCACGAAATTTACCGAGTGTCCAGGAACCAAAAACGAAGTGGAAAGGATCAAAAATCTGCAAAGGAAGCCTAATGTTCTCCTGCATGTAGCAGACAGAAGAATTGTCTAGCGCTAGTGAACAACGACTGTTATCCTTCTTCTATGATACCCACAAACTGGATGCTCTGAGCAGTCCAAGGACGAGTTCTGGGCTCTGCTGGACGAGGAAGACGGCTGAAGTGCCACCAAAAGACGGTATCATTGTAGCCGGCGATTTAAACGGACACGTGGGCGCTGCAAAAGACGGCTATGCTTGTCATGGCGGATTCGGCTACGGTTCACGGAACGCGATGGTGAGCGAGTCCTTGAGTATGCAGAGTCGCATAATCCTCGTCATTCTCAACACAAGGTTTCGTGAAACGTGACTCTCATCTCATCACGTTCTACAGCGGAAGTACCAGGACACAAATAGACTTTAAACTCATCAGGCATGGCGACCAAGGGCGTGCGCAGCGCTAAGGTGGGTACCGTATGAAACCGGGTTGCACGCAAGCACCGCCCAACCCGCATCTGCATGCCTCAGACCTATAGCTCCCAAACCGAGGCGGCAGAGCAATGCGGTCCTGAAAGAATAAAGTGGTGGCAACTGAAAGAGCGAGAGGCATCTGTGATTTCTCGTATTTAACCATCTGAAGTCACAACTGTTTAAGAGACCTAACGAAGCTGTTAATTTTATAATCCGGGCTGCCCGCTCCGAACTCGGCACAACGATGTCTGGGCGGCGGAGGATTGACAAAAAAGGCATGGCTCTGGACGGACAACGTTCTCAATGCAAACCGAAGGCTATGAGAAGTTTTCTGCGTGTAAGTGATGATAAATGGCCACCTTCTGATGGACCGAAAAAGGGTAGATGACGTGAATACTTCGAGGGCATCTCAACGGTGGAATTCGTCCATCCCGCTATACCCTGTACCACACCAACATATAGTCCCGTTGAGAAGACCGTACAGGAACCAGTAGTTGAGAAGTCTAAGATAGAAGGCAGCCCAAAAGTAACAGTTGCCCGACGACATAGCAAGCTGAATTTTCGTGGGAGGGACACAACGCTGGTTTTCTGCGGGGTTGGTTGACGAAACTCTTCAACCAGATCGTCGAAGAGAAGAAGGTGCCCAAGGACTGGCAGCAGAGCGTGACGATCCCGAATGGAAGAAGAAGGGCAGATTGCATGAACTACCGTCCACTTCGCCTTTTCTCGCACAGTATGAAAATCTTTAAGCAAATTGTTGACGCCCGCGTTCGTGATATCAGTCCAGCTTTCCACCAATCAGTGTGGCTTCGTGGCGGGTTGTAGCACCGTCGACGCCATACATGCCGCTCGCCTATTGCTGGAGAAAAACACCGCTTGAACGCAAAAGGACCGTGTATGTAAATAGCTTTCTTAGACCTGGAGAAGGCATTCGATCATGTGCGCCCGATGTTATATGGTACGCTTTGAGGCGGCACGGCGTGCCCGAAGAGCTATTGAGTGGGTGCGCATCCTTTACTCATGCCCAGGGAGCCAAGTTCGCTCACCAGCGGGTGTTTCAATGGAGTTGCCCCATCACTTTCTTTTCGTTGCCGTCATGGATGCCATCTCACGAGATCTTCAGAAGGAAGTGCCTTGGACCCTGCTTTACGCTGATGATGATGCTTGCTTGTGAAGATAAGAGCGCACTGGAACAGCAGGTGCAAGCTTGGGCCGAGCGTCTGGCGAAGTTTGGACTCAGGTTGAACGTCAACAAGACCGAGTACCTGACAACCGACCCAAATGAGCCGGGCTCCATTAAGATCGATGACACGGTGCTCAAGCGCACGGAAACATTCAAGTATCTCGGATCAGCACTTGCGTCCGATGGCAGTCTGAACTCGGAAGTGAGCGCACGAGTGAGTGCGGCGTGGTCTAAATGGCGATCCATGTCTGGGATCCTTTGCGACAAGAAAATGCCAGAGCGTTTCAAGTCAAAGATCTGTCGTCCGACCTGTCGCGTTATATGGTGCCGAGTGCTGGCCCGCGACCAAAGAAGTTGAGGCTCGCCTTGGTGTGATGGAGATGAAGATGTTGCGCTGGACGGCGGGCGTCACGCGATCGGACCGCATTGTAACGATGTCGTGCGCAAGAAGTATGGTGTAGCCCCCATAGCAGAGAAAATGCGTGAAACGCGCCTTCGATGGTACGGGCACGTACTTCGCGCGAAGGCTGACACCGTCCGTAAAACTGCTCTCGAACTCGAGGTACCAGGAAAGCGGCCAAAGGGGCGTCCCAAACAGCGCTGGCTCGACACGCTGCATACCGACTTGAAAATAGCCGGCATTCACCCCGATCAGGCATTCAATCGGGAAAAGTGGCGTAGTTATATCAAAAGAGCGGACCCCGCCATCGAGCGGGACAAACGCTGAAGAAGAAGAAGAAGAAGAAGAAGAGAACTTAGATATAAATTGCTGTATAGGATTTGGCGAAGAAGTTGTGTTCAGATGTATACTGGTTTTTAGTTATTTAGTTGCGTTGTGTTTATTTGTTGATTGTGCTCTGTCGCGTCAAATGAATAAATAATCCAAAGAGCGATCTCGGGCGAACTTCCTGTAGGCATTGTGCCAATAACCGCTACGATAGATACGGCTGCACATATGTACTCATATATTGCAGCACTGCAACCGCTTCATATTAATCCCTTCGCTATATACTTCGTAAATGAAGCAATACGAGCATCAAGTACGGTCGTCCATTTGTGGGCGGGCGGGCGCGGTAGACGTTCGGATCGGTCGTTGTACCTTGACAGGGCCTTATAAGAAAAGACTGCGCGCCCTTGACTAGGCGTTCTGAAAAAGGCGCTACAGAGCACCTAATCAGGGGCGCGGAATTCTGTCGTGCCAGGCGTGTTAATCGTACTCGTCTTGAAATTTGTCGTGCCAACTGCCTTTAAAAGACACTAGGATTCTGTATGGAAAGTTATTAAGTGCATTATCCATTTCCAAAGGAAACCGAAGAACGTCGAACACTCATACATTTGACATTTAATATTGTACCTACAACAGGCCAGGTCGCCAAGAAGACAACAGCTAACTAATTACCTGTGGGAGGAACTGCGATGCAATGACAATGCCCTCTCTTGATCTTGATAGAATAGTCCACACACGATCATAGAAGTTCACAGGCATTCTGTTCAATGCACCGTTTAGCCGACGAGTTTGTAGTGGTGTTCTGAATAAATCCACTCATCGATTTCCTCAAACTTCAAAAATCTAAAAGGGCAAAACTAACAGGAGGTGCCAATTCTTCCTTGTCATGAGTGCTGTGACCACATCTTTCACAACCGTGGGCGACAAGTCATAAATGCAACTTTTCTTAAACTCTGAAATGATCATGAAAATAAAGCCTTTTCAACATTTCGCTTGTTTTGAGGCATCTTAATAAGCCATGTAGGTTGGAGTGGTGACAATATATTGTCACCCTTGAAGGCACATTC